CAAGGATTACAAAGAGAAACATTTTTTTTTTTTTTGTTCATTCTTACTTTTCAAAGTGATGGTTATAATCCATAACAAGATACAAGATTCAAGGGGCTAATAGGTATATTTTTATCAACTTTCATATGCATAATTTACATTTATATAATTGTGTTCCATAATTAAGGTCAGATTCAAAATTTTTAACATTCATGTTGAACATGACATGAACACTATTCATGAAAGCATCTATATGAAAATCACCATCTTTTTGGAGAAATTATCATGTCATGTAATATATTGCAAAGTTTGACCAAGTATCTTTTGAGCAGTATTATTGGTTTTTTTAACTTTTTCTTTTGTTAAACTCAATTATTTTAGTTGTTCACTTCAATATTTATATTTTGCTGGCTGCTGCAGGTGCTTCAAATGAGCCCTGTATGTAAAGTGTATGTAAACGCATTACTTAATATTATTATCTATTTTTGACATTTTTGTTCTTCTTCTTCTTCTTCTTAATATATATATATATTTTTTTAATTATCATTTTACGGTTCCAAGATAAATTTATAGCAGTGAACTCTGTACTTGAAATCTCTCCCTAAGAAAGCTGATGGGGAGCGAATTGTAGAAAATTCGTCCTTCAAATTTTCCGAGGAATTGAACTTGTATCCCCTCACGCCAGAATCTAGGGCTTTGCTGCTGCGTTTCAAGTGCTGAAGGTACATTGCCTTATTGTTCTTCTACTTCTGGGTTTTAACTCTCAAGTCATGTCGGTATAATTGCGGCTTTTGATCTTCAATTTTGTGTTTTGTTCTGTGTGGTTATGGGATTTGCTATATTACTGTATTTTTTTATTTTATTTTATTTTTTTTTGTGAGAACTGTATGGTTAGAAAGATATGTTTTCTTGGATATGGGAGTTGGTAATGTATGTAAATGGGATAGTTGATGCGTGTTTCTCATGATAATCTGCAACTTATCTTCTGGTAGTAAGAATTGATATCTGGGAGCTTAATTATGGCCAGCACTTAGACATTGTTGATTTAACTGTAGTTTTTCATTGTTTGCTTTGAATTTTCTTTACCCCATTTTCTCTCCGTTATTCTCTTGTTCATCTGTTTTAGTCCAGATCATTGTTTTCGATGCATGATAATGTGAAAAATTTGGCCGACAATGCAGCTGAGCAGGATGGTCAGTGACACCCGATCTGCCAGAAATAGCAAGGATGAAGGATATGGTCCTAATTTAAAATTGAAAGCGGTTGTAAGAAAGGATCTCAAGGTTCAGGTGCAAGAATCTCAAGGTTCAGGTGCAAGAAGATCAGCTAGAGAAGCATCAGATTCCCCCACACAAATGGTACCAAGCCCTCATAGCATGCAGAAAACCAAGCGTCTCGAGGAGGGGACCCCGCCTTCTACTCCTTCCACAAAGCGGAAATCTGGGAGACTGGAAAAGAGTAACACTCCAAGCCCTGTCGGAGCTGTGAAGAGGTCCATCAGGAGTAAGAACGAACTTTCACCTGATGATTCTTCTGGGTCAAAAGAATCCGCAGAAAGAATTGGTCCGCTGGACTCGAAGAGAAAGAAGCAGAAGAACTTGATTCAGGTGACACTGGAATCTAAAAAGGCCGAAATTGACCCGGAAGTCGGCACGAAGAGAAAGAAGATGAACGCTCGGTCTTTCATGGCCATGTTCAAAAGGCAGCGCATCAAGATTGCGTCGGGTACCTTCACTCTCCTATTTACTACACTTGTTTGTGTCAGACAGTGGATCTTTATTTTCTGACAGTTCAAATTTTTACGCAATTTTTCTTTCTGTCCTTCACGTCTCTTTTAAATTATTTCGTTAGTGCCTCATGACACGCGTTCTTTTGTTCTCCACTTTATCTTCATTAGATGGTGATGAGGTGCTGGAAGGACGAGATAAATTGTCTAATGTTTACAGTGACAATAACGAAGGCATTGGCTCGGAACGAATGGGAAATGGAGTGGTTAATACTGATGAAAGAAGTAGAAGGGTAGTGGGTGATTCGAGAGATCCAATCATTGATATCGATAAAGCTTCTGGTGGAACTCTTCAGAAGTCATGTCCAAAAGACCGTTGCGAAGACATCCAAGATAATGTCAATATGGCTTCTAGCCACAGGAACGATGTTCTGGATGATCATTTTTCAAATCGTTCGAATACCATTTTGATTTTCAGAGAAACGTCGGTTTGTCCAAAAAGATTGCCGACAAAATGTTCTTTCTCTGAGAATAGGGATGCTTCAAAATCCGAAAATTCAACTTGCTTGGGGAAAATAGGAGATGATTCTGAATGTTCCAGTATTGATAAGAGAAGCACGCAACTGAAAGGTATGTCTTACACAATGGATAGTAATATACATCTTATCTTAAAGTAAGTAAGTATGGGTAAATATTTGTTTCATGTCAGTTGCAGAGGATAATCCTTCACCATCACCTACTCTGGATACGCGTGTCCTCTGCTCTGAGATCAAAAGGTGCGTTTCGTGCCACTGAGTATTTCCTCTCACTTTCAGTATTGCGATGGTTTCTTGCTGTGAAACAAATTTCTGAAGCATTCTACAAATTATGTAGATTTGAATACGCATAAAACATGTTGCAATAGATGTCTGTCTACGTGCAAAGTATACGGGTTCCAAATAAGCTGAAATGAAGTTCGAATTCTTCCAATAGCTGGTGGTTTTAATGACAAGTATTTATTAGGCCATTGGTTGAGTCATGACCAACTTATTGAGATGTTTCATGATTGTACACTAGGAAGTAGGAAATAAAGAGCATGCAGCATAGATATGTTTTTCAGATTTGCGATCAGGTCTGTTCCACCTTGCAATAGGATTTTGCTGCATGTTCATCTCTACTGAAGACATTTTCCTATATTTGTAAATTTTATATGATAGAAGACTAATACTTCTGATGTTTTAAAAGAATTCTACAGTCAAATTACTGTTTCACATTCCTTTCCTGCTCTACTGTGTATGTTTGATGTTGGCTGACTGATTGATTTCCTTTGTCTGCTTGATTTGAATTCTTGGATAGCACAATTAAGATGTAATAGGTGGTTTTTATCAAGGGGTCTCAGTGAAGAGCGGTGGTATTTAGGTTGACTACTTCTCGACTTTCATATTTCGTAACTTTACCCACATTTGTGGATCAGAAATTAGAAAATAACTTTAAGCATACTTTTGTCTGGATAGAAATATTTATGAATCAATATTGTTTCTGTTGGACAATCTTTAGCCACGTCTTTTCCTTTGTCATTATTTGTTGTCATATTTGTCATTTGTTTTTTATTTTTTTAGGCAATTACCATGTGAAACTTAAGCGTGTTTGTATATATTTGAAGATGTTGCATTGGATTGATTTAATATTTAGGTCTGAAGGCATGTCAGGGGGAAGAAGTGTATCATCTGATGAGCAGACAACTCCCCAGAGTTCTTTGCAAGAGGAGACTAAAAGACTATGCCGAGTTCTTAAATTTTCGGTACGAAACTCTTACGGTTCCTTCTTCTTAATCACTATTCTTTATGTGGTTCCTTCATACATGTCCTTTCTGGTAATATTGCTAAGACAGTTGCTTACTTCATAGTATTTGCCTGGGCAGTAAATGGTAACATCGGTCATTCTATTTGTACAATCTGTTTTATTTTGTTCTTTGGGCTCAATATACTGTTGGGATATACGGATAAACTGTAATGTAAAATATATCATGTAGTGAATGCACTTCGGAGAAGGAAAATAAATATACAGAAAAAATGCATATTTCTTAGGCAGACTCATGCTCTCATATGTTCTCCCTCCCAAATCCCAATTAGCAACAAGGTGGTGCAACATCCCATATAAATATTGGCTTCTTGATATTGGTGGCAAAGGTATCAATATATTTGACTGGACAATGCTGGGAGAATTGAAAAGTGATGAGCTATAAGAGCAGTGCTTTTTATCATCTTTGTTTATACTTTATAAATGCTCTATTATAACCCCAGCGAACTTTTTTTTGATATTTGATGTGCGTACATACTGTACAATACATGGCATTTATATTGGGAGTCTACTGCAGCTTTTTAATAAATATTTCTGTGGAAGTTTGCGCAGCTTAGTTACCATTGGCGACAAAACTTAGTGATTTTAGATATTCATTGCTAAAATATCAAGAGGGGTTTGTCAAACTTCTATACCTATATGCAAGTTGATTTTGAACCAGTAAATATCTCGATGTCTATTAATCATCCATTCTTTTTTACCCTGTTTTTTTCTTTATGAGAATTCAAAGTTTCTACTTGTTGGCTTGGTTGAATTTCTCTATTTGTAATCAAGTGAACATGCATTTTTTTCTTATTTCTTAGTTGAATTTATCGGTCCCGAACCAAGTTCGCTTACATTGTTTTTTAGTTGAATATCTTGATTCATTACAAAGTTCACAATCTTTGTTTTTGTGATAGCCGCTGCAATCCAACACTGATACAGCAAGAGTAATAACTGTTAGGGTGTGCATGAGTAAACAGCANAAAAAAAAAAAAAAATCCATTTTTCTTTAGAAATGAAAAATGTAAAACATTTGCATATCAAGACATTTTAGTACATGAAATAAAATCAATATATAAAAATGAAACACCACGAAATTGCAGAAAAAGATTAGAAAGCTTAGGGAGAGACTTTTACGGCGTCATGAACTAGAGCTCCAGGAGTTCCATGAGAAATGGAACAGGGAAAAGATAAAACTCGAGATGGATCACAAACTGGAGTCGGCTTTTGTTCGAGCCGTGCACGGTCAGAGTGTGATAGGGATTGACAGACTCAAGCTTTTGAATACTGACTTCAAAATGAAAATGGAGGAGCTCGTATCACAAAAGGATCTAGAGCTTAAAGCTCTGGAGGCACGGCAGTTGGAAGAAATCAATTTGGTGGAGGCCAAAGCAAAAGCCTACTTATGTGGCCCAGGTTCTGTTGGTGAGCTGCAGTCACTTGCTCCTCAACCTGAGGAGCATGCTGGTGAAGACTTTCAGCCATGCAGACAATCTGACGAGGCAATAGGCTGTGAGACTCGTGTTGAGAATCCGGAAACTGTTTCTGCACAAAATGAAGATGGGGGGAATGTTAGTCAACCAAAGCAAACAGGTGATAATGAAGAAGCCGCCTTTATGAATCCAGCTGCTTCTGTGGAACGGGTTTCTGATGCTTTGGTGGATGAGAGAAGCAGGCCTGATGAGGTCGCCAGTGAGGATTCACAAGGCCTGAAACAGCAGCTTGTCCAATCAAAGGAAAATGCTCCGCTGACAGATTGTGGCAACACGCTGTCACAGCAGGTACATGCTTTTCCTGGAGTAAAATATCAACTTGCTATTAATCCTTTGTGCTTTGTTTATTGGTTAACCGGAAGTTAACAGTTGCTAAGTTATCTATCTGTCAATCTACAACAGTTGCATCAGTTCTTTTAGCACGATTGGCCTTTTACCTGTGACATGCAGAGAATTATTTTTCAAATATATTGAGTCTGTGAAAAGATGTTGAAGATATCTTATTTCCAGGGGTTGGTGCCAAATTGATTAGGAAGTGAATAGCAGACCTTCACTCCCTATTTTACTTTAATTTTTTTTCCCTGCTCAGTTGTTGTTGCTTATATAATTTTCAGAATACGCATGTAGAACTGCATAAATTAACGATTAATGTTGTCGTAGGTGCAACAAGATAAACCGAACCATAGTTTGGCGCCTGCTGTGGAAAATCAAACTACTTTGCAGAATCAAACAGAACCGATCGACACTGTAAACCCTGTACTACCAAATCATGAAGAAGCTCCTGTGGCTAATGAATACGTAATCCATGTACCGTCAGATCACGAAACTGTGACCCATGAGCCTACGAATAATGAAACTGTGACCCGTGAGCCTGCGGGCGCTAAAACTTTGACCTGTGAGCCTACTGATAATGAAACTGAGACCCATGTGCCAAAGGGCACTGAAACTTTGACCTGTGAGCCTACTAATAATGAAACTGTGACCCATGTGCCAAAGGGCACTAAAACTGTGATCCACGAGCCTACGGATAATGAGATTGTGACCCATGAGCCTATGGGCACTAAAACTGTGACCCGTGAGCCTATTGATAATGAAACCGTGGCCCATGTCCCAACGGGCACTGAAACTGTGACCCATGAGCCAACGGGCATTGAAACTGTGACCCGTGAGCCTACTGATAATGAAACTGTGGCCCATGTCCCAACGGGCACTGAAACTGTGACCCATGTGCCAGCATGCATTGAAACTGTGACCCGTGAGCCTACTGATAATGAAACTGTCGCCCATGTCCCAACGGGCACTGAAATTCTGACCCCTGTACCGTCAGATCATGAAACTGCAGCCCAGATAACGTCAGATCATGGAACTGTAGCCCAGTTACCATCAAATCCTGGACAAAATGCTGTAGTACCAGCTGTTTATGAGAATTGTGTAACCACACCCTCCCAGATAGTGGTGAGTACTGCTGAATGGTTAAACGAAGCTGTTTTTCAGCTTGGGTCTGACGCAAGCCATTCTGAGGAGCCCAACTACCTTGTCCATCCAAGCCATCAACTTGCTTACGGGAGTTCACCTCCATCTTCATCTATTGACCCACTTCAAATCGAGATTGATAAGCTACGTAAAGAAACTGAACAACTGGATAAATACCATCGAGAATTGGTTAGTGTGGTACTTTTATTATCGTTTTTCGTATGCAATCTCGTGTTTCTGCTTCAACTTTTCTTTTTTCTGTGTGTAATTAACTCTCTCTCTCTCTCTCTCTCTCTCTATAGGTATTACGGCTGCAATATGATTGTGAGAAGGAGATCCAGGACATCATTAACCAAATTCGAAATAAGTACAACACAAAGCTTCAGGAGGCTGAAACTGAACTTAAATCGAAAAGGAATGAACTTGATAAGAATCATAACAAAGTTGTTATGAATAAACTATTGGCTGCAGCTTTTAGATCAAAGTGCTGGAACCCCAAGTTTGCTTTGGTCCCGGGTATGCAACAAGGTGTCTGTTTATTTGCAATGCTTTCTATTTTCCTCTCCTAATGGCTATCATTTTATTTCATTCTTTTTTTGTGTGTGTGTGTGTGTGTGTGTGTGTGTGTGTGTGTGTGTGTGTGTGATAATTCTATCATCCACATTAATTATTGGTCCGAGTGTCTGACCAGAAAATTTGATTACAAAACTTGGTATTTTATTTCCACATGGTGAAAGAGGACTTAAACAATATACTTACATGCTGTGGAAAATGATGTTTTCTCATGAAAATGGCACCAACAGGTGAACTCATATACACGAGACTTGACATAATATACTTTGCTATTTCTTTTTTCCTCGTATCTTTGGGACAGATGTATTCACGGTTTCTGAATAAATGTACTTATTTATCCTTGAAAGGTCCTATCCGAACGGGTGAAGTTGTCATCCGTACTTGAATGTGATTGGATATTGACAATTTTTCATTTTTATCCCAGTTGAGAAACATTTTACGCCCAAAGTTATGGTTGGATACACAAATTGTCCGAAAACAATGTTCTCGCACTATTTCTAATAAGCATTCGTTTCTAAACTGCCGGCATTTGTTTTGACTATACTACTACCTCTTATTCTTTCTAAATGTCATTTTGGCTTTATCAACTGTTAACCAAACAAATGACATTTTGGTTTTTTTGTACATATTTTTCCATTATTACCCTCATTTAGCAAAAAAATACACTATGCCTTTTAATATCCACTCTTAATTTTCATGTTATTAACTTTCATTTAAAAGGGTCATTATTGGCAAAACGACACATATTATGAATAAGAGGGTGTATAATTTATTGTCTGTTTTTTTCCATTTTCAGGTGTTCCACCCAGCTGCTTGCAGCACATGCAGCAGCTATCAACCCCATCGGGCCCCACCCAGCCATTCGCAGCCCCACACCACCCACTG